CTACCTAAAATGCCAATACATACATTTTCGTCCAAATTTAGTGCTGAAAATCTCTGACAGATGGGGTATGATTGCTGAATCCTCGTTACAAGATGGTTAAGTTAAAATTTTAATTAAAAAGAAATCAATTTTTGTATCATGTTGCTCCCACAGGATCAGTCCTGTTGCTGCACCATGAAAATCCTGTTGCAGCACCTGTTTTCCATTGAGGCCGCAAAGGGGCGCTATTTTGACCTCGTCGATGTTGCGATATGCAAAAAAAAAGTTAACATAATTCAAGAGAAAAATTCCCGAACCAAAAAAATCATTTCGAAGATCATCATCATCTTGATTTGAGTAAAAAAATTCTCGAACGGAGAAATTTTTCTTCCATTAAGTAAATTTCCTTGATTCAATAATTTTTTCTCTTGAATAAAGTTAATTTTTCTTTGGGTATGAGATTTACTTTTAAATTAGTTATTTTTTACTAATTTAAGAAGTCAAGAGATCTAAGTTTGCCTCAAAATTAGTGAAAAAATCAAATTATAATTTTTGAAATTTCACTCCTTAATTAGTAAAAAAACTACTTCTTCAAACATTATTATTTTCACTTATTCGAAAAATTTATAACTACTAATCACTAGCAGTATATTTTGAAAAATTTTGAAATTAACTATTAATTAATGATTTTTCACTACATTAGTTTAGAGGGTATTTTGGAACGAAAAAAATTTTTTTTTTCATCGTGACATTAATATTAAATTTAATTATCTACTAAGTCAATTATTGTTTAATACGTCATGTTAATTGTCGTATACATTTCTATAAAATAATAATTAATTTTTTTATTCTTATCCGAACACATATGTTGACATATATTTTTAGCACAAAATATATTGCAACTTCTAGGTATCCCTCTTTATAAGTCACATATGCCGCATTTTTTTGCAAACATCCATATTGCATCCTATGCCACATAGATTCTTCATATATATATATTTCCATGCAGGATGACCATAACAGAAAATTTTTTTGCGGGTATGAATAAATGTTGAAGTGACAGAGGACTTTAAATGAAATACCAACGTAAGCAAACGGCAAACGAATAGAAGCGAAAGGAAGTGAGGAAGCAAAGCGAGATTTCGTTTATCGCAGTTGCAGTTAATCGAGATTGCCGATAGTCATCTCGGGAGGATTCAACCCGTCAGTTACTGCACACCCGATTCATTCATCTCTATTGCATATATATATATATATATATATATATATATATTAGTACGAGAAGGGTAAACTTCTTCGCTTACCCTCACGCCTGGCACGGTTGCATCCAAATCGCTTTCAAGCTCTCCGGCTCGCAGCCGCTGACTTGAGCTTGGAATAGAAAACGCGATATTCTATCAATCGATCGGCGGTATGTACCGTTAAATCGGAAAGCTCAAGTCTCGAGGATTTCGCCGATGCACTTTTCCCTCCTCAAGCTATCCTATCATCTGAGCTTTAGTCCGTTACTCCATTTCTGCGCTATCTCTGTCTCTTTTTCTCTCATTCACATCTTGCTGCTGGATTCTAGTTGCCATCTTCTTCAAAACTCTCTTCTTTGTATATACATATACATGTACACTTGATGGTACAATCTACTTTTGTCTCTACGGACTATAAATAATCGTGTTCGACGAACAGTGCGAATTAATAGTCCGACGAATAAGACGTCTTTGTACTGAATTTTATCATCGAGAATTATACCACGGTGTACATAATGCCTCCAAATTTTCACAATCTTTGGACTAGACTCTAGTCATACTCCGATACCTGAATTCAAATAGAATTTTTTGACATTGAAAAAAAAAATACAAAAAAAAGTACATTAAAAAAAACAAACAAATTATTGATTAGAGAAAAATATCCTCTTTAAAATTTGATTCTCATTTCGAAATATTCAGTTCAAATTACTTCCTGAAATTCGCGAACAGAATCAAGGAAATACAAATGAAGGATACGAAAAAAAATTTACCCATTTAAAACTTTTGTGAAGAAAAACAATGACAGCCAAAATGACATCCATAAAGAAATTTATATTCTTTCACTTTTTGCGTATTTTTTCTTTAATTCTTAAACAAATTTAAACTTAGTTAAAATAAAAAAATTCACAAAAATTGTACTGAAACAGTTTTTCTTTAAGTTTTAAGCATTTTTTTTAATTGCTATTTTCGTATATAATTTACTACTTTTTTAGAATTATCAAACTTCTGGCTATAATTATATTTATTAATAATGAATAATATGGAACCATGTTTTTATTTAAATTATTTTATTTATTTTTATTTATCATTCTCGTTACAAAAAAATTCTATAGAGGTGCGTATAGCACCTGTGCATAGAACGAGTACATATTAAATTATGATAATTTTTCTTATCAATAATCACTTTGCAATGAACACCAATTTGCAATTTACATATAATAATAACGTACGGAAACTTGATTGAATGTAAGCATATAATTAGAAAGGTTTGTATACTTATCAAATTGAACTTTCTGAACGATAATGACAGAAACTATTGTACTTCATTCTGCCGCTCAGTGCACAGTAAAAAATTTTGCGTCATTGCGTCAAACACAGTATTAAAAATTTTTGTGTTAAATATTTAACACTTTATGAGTAAAATTAACATTTATTCTGTTAAATCAACACAGAAAAGTGTTAAATATTTAACACAAAATTTTATGTCGCAATGGAGCAAAATTTTATTCTTGCTCTCCTAGCCGAAAGTACGCTCTTCCAGGCCGCACTTTACTCTAGAAAGAGCAACTTTTATGGCCTGCTCAAACGCATGCGCGCTACGCATATTTTCTGGCTCGGCAGCACAGAACCTCGCTTTCCTTCGTATTGTCGTGGCACGACCGGCCTATAGGCCTCTGTATACAGCAAATTTCAACTGCATAACAGTCACAACATCGTCTGTGTGTGACATATCAGCACATAAACTAACCAAAAAATGTCACAGATGTAAAAATAATTTTCAACTATGAGATGATTGTTAATGAAATATTTAATCATAATTAGAGCCGAGAATTTAGTTTTTTTAAAAGAGAGAGACAGCAGATAGGTGTAGCCAAGCGTTCTGATTGGTCGTAATAAATTAATTGTTTTTTGTTTTTCGCAATCAAGTGAAGACAGCAGCTTGAAGGAAAAATAAAAATTAGATTGCTAATCCAATATGAAAATATAAAAAATATGTCAAAAAAAACAGGTTAGTTTGCAGATGTTAAAGTGCTTGTAAACAAATACAAGTCCGTACTGCTCAAATAAATAAAGAAGAGAATTTCAAGCACAGTGTTGTGACCAAAATGTTTGATGAAATTAATTTAAAGTGAACAGTGACAAGCTGGCGATTTCGCTGGAGATCGCGTAAAGGAATTGCTCCGGTCTCACTGGTAATTTTGCTGGATATCGCACTGATGGTCTATTTAAAGGTCTCGCTGGAGGTCATGCTAGAACTCTTGCTGACGGTCGCGCTGGAGATCACGCTAACGGTCTTTCTAGAGGTTTCGCTGACGGTTTTGCTGATGGTCTCACTGGAGGTCGTTTTGCTGGAAGTTGTGCTAATGGTATTGCTCCCGGTCTCGCTGGTGATTTTGCTGTCGATCACGGTGATGGTATCGCTGGAGATCACACTGACGGTCTTTCTGGAAATCTCGCTGGAGATCACGCTGACCTTATTTTTTAGAGGTCTCGCTGGTGATCACGCTGACGGTCTTTCTGGAAGTCTCGCTGGAGATCACGCTGCCGATCTTTTTGGAGATCTCGCAGGAGAT